GACGTCTCTTCCTTAGTAGAGAGCGTCTGCCTTGAGCACTGTGCTTCTTTCAGCAGCAAGAACGATGGCTGTACACACGGACCTCGCCTGTGTGTGGACGCACAGGAACCCCACTGGCCACATCTGGGGGAGAGATGATGTCTACGTCAGTCACTACCATCCGTCAAAAACAAGGCCAGGGGCCAGCTGCAGGGCAGACCATCAGTCACTCATACGCACGTCCAGGGTGACGCCGAAGAGAAGGAGGGCCAGCCTATAGCCTTGAGTAGATCGCACTGAGTTTGGAGATCATCGTCAGAAGAGTCCTACGCAGTGAAAGCTCCTGGTCTCTAAATCCAGTGGGATCTACTCAAGGCTGTAAGCTGCATCGTTATTTGCTTGGAAGACAACGACTTTGGGGATATTTTCGGTACAAGGCTTAAAAATTACTCCAGGGCAGTAATTTTGGGGTTCATAGCCTCGTGGCTCCAGAGAGTCTGGATCATTTGAGAATGTGACAGCATTTTCTGGAGTCCCCCTTCCACTCCCCACTGCCCCCCACCATCTGTCAGGATTCTTCTGTAGAACCTTTGATCATAATCTTCAGTCCTGGTAGCCGGGCACCCTCCAGTACTTGCAGTCTTCTGGCAAAGGGAGCAGTTGTCAGAGACCAGCAGACACACGCAGGGGCTGGGGGAAGATTCCCTTTGGGTCTCTTGCCCCAGTGGTTGTGTAACTGCGCCTGATAGTGTTGGGCGGCAGAGAAGGGAGGCTCTGAAGCCACTGGGAGCAGGCAGGCAGGAGAGCCTCTGGGGAAATAGCCCCCCCTCATCCCAGCGGTCGCTATGGTCAGTCGCATTCTTTGGAAACAGGTGATGTTACTCTGATAAAGTTGCCTTTTGAATCAGGTTGCCTTGTTATCCCCCTAATCATGTTTTCTGGGCAGGACTGCAAGCCGGAGCCTCTCAGACTTGATTGTAACAATCACGTGGTGCTCGGCGCGGAGACCGTCTGAATGAGTCGTGGAGCCAGAAGCGCTGGGCTGATTGTTGTTGGGGTTCGCTACAAAATGTAGGCACCCTTGAGTTTCCCGAGGAACCCCGCTGGCACAGTGGCTTAAGCGCTCAGCTGTGTCCCGAAGGCCAGTGTTTGAAAACACTCAGCTGCTCCGCAGCCACTGGCTTGTCTGGGAGCTGCCCTATAGGGTCAGGATCTGGCCTGTCCCTTCTTGTGGTGTTACTCTGTTCCCTGAGTCTGGGGAAAGCCTAGCGTTGTGCTTTGTTATCTTGTTTTGTAAGGCAAGTCTGGACCGTAGGACATGGGACAATAAAAACAATCTATTGTTAAAATAATTAAAACTGGGTTTGGGGTCTGATCACTCCCTTTAAAAGTTCCCCACCAACCTTGACACCCCCCCCCCCAGCCTTTAGTGTCCACTGATAGCTGTTGCCTGATTGTTTATGTACAAAGGCTTCCTGACTTTATTCGTTGGGAACGTTGTAAAACAAGTGTTTCCATCCACAGTTCGTGTAAAACCCACTGCTACCAGGTTGATTCCAAGTCAGAGGGGACTTTTCCATGGTTTCCGAGCCTCTAAGTTGCTCATCTTGTTATCTTGAGCAGCTAGAGGATCCAAACCATCTATGTTACAGTTCTCAGCCTCGTGCCTGACCCACGAGGGTTAAGTTATTATCTTAACCCATTGAGTTTCGAGATCATCGTCAGAAGAGACTGACGTAATAAATGCTCATGATCTCTAAATCCAGTGGGATCAACTCACGGCTGTAAGCTGCATCGTTGTTTGGTTGCAAGAAGACTTCGGGGATATTTTTGGTGCAAGGCTTAAAAATTACTCCAGGACTCCTGACCCACACATGCTCAGGACTCCTCCAACGATTTCTTTAGTGATCCTGAACTGTGGTTCTTGCAAGGAGCCAAACCTAACCCACGGCCGAGTCCATTCTGACTCGTCATGTCCCCGTGGGACAGCAGCAAGTCCTTACAGAGCAGACGGCCTCACCTCTCTCCTCCTGAGAGGCTGGGGGGTCAAGCCACCAACCCTGAGTTAGCAGCCCAGCGCTTAATCCACTCCTCTCACACATTAGTTTCCAGCCTCCGTGGGAACTCTTGGAGGGAGAGTTTTGTAGTTTAATGTCATTATTAATTCTTGGATTTTTATGTAGATATGTTTTAATGTGTTGCATTAAATCTTTTGGCTCTTGTACTCACACATAAATATACCCGTAATCTTGCATATTGCACATTTCCTGACCCAGACCATTTATCAGCCTCTATCTCCAAGGTCTCCCTGTCCCCCTTTTGAGGGGAAAGATATTTAGAGACCCCAGTCTACAAGCAGGAGGACGTGCTATTACGAGCTACTTCTGTGGGCTGGAACGTGAACACACGTGTACACACGCACACGCCCTTTCTCGCCCTCATACAATCATAGACACTAAGGTGTTTTTTAAGCACGAGTTCATACTCGTTTCCAATTTCACTTGACATTTTCTTACTTGCCTGATTTTTATTATTCTGTTTCTTTTCCTTCACACTCAAGGCCTTCATCTTGATGATGTTACCCAACTCCTTCTTGCTTTATTTACACTGTATCTATGGTCATTTCAATGCAATCATCAGTGTAGCTCATCGGTAGAGTTCTGCCAGTGTGACACCGAGAGTGCTGTGTCCCGTTTCTGTGTGCAGTTCCTGTGTTCTTGGACTGTGTCTCCCCCGAGTTAAACTGAAACACCGCTAACAACACTGGAAGGAGCTGTGACCTCAGCCTACGTTGTTTTAGGGTCCCTGCTGGTGCGATGAATGGGTTTGCCAGGCCAGCAGTTTGAAACCACCAGCCGCTCTGCAGGAGAAAGAGCAGGCTTTCCTCTGCCCTACCGATTGGGGTCTTGGAAGCCCACAGGGCAGGCTGCCCTCTGAACCGTCTCTACGATCAGAATAGACTCGACACCAGTGAGTTCGGCTTTCCTTGGGCTTGTGTAGTCACGACATCAACATGATCGTCAACATAAACACCAGGGTCACTTCTTTCTGTGGGTTTTCAGTTTTAGGGGTTGCTCCCCCCTTTCCTTTCCGATTTACCTAAATGTTTTTACACAGTTAGGGCTACGAAGGGAGCCCTTCATGACAAGATGCACTTCCAGGAGCCCCACGTCTAGTCTGGGTCCCTCGCCCCCTGCTGTTGCCCCAACAACTCATTCTTCTTTTCTGCTGGGGGTAGGGTAAGAGCAAATATACGTCTGTCTACGTATGGCAGGAACTTCAGAGTTTGTGGGAAAGTTTCATGATCTCTTTTTCACCTTACTTTTTTTTTTTACCTTTAAGGACGGAAGTTTACTTACCAACAGTCAGTCAAACTTTCAAACAGGAGGGAGCGGTCCAGAGACTGAGTCTCAGCCGCGTTGGGTGTCAAGCCCCGGCATTCTTGGCTTCCTCTGGAGTCTGATTTCCTGCCAGGACCCACACGTGTTCATGCGTGTTCATGTGTATGTGCACCCGCCATCATCCTTTAGTTCCAGTTTCTCACGAACTTTCCAAAGCCCCCTCGCGTGTATTTGACCATCTTGCCTGTGTCGGAAGGACTGTGCAGTGCCCAGCTTGTAACGCGAGCCCTGTGCCGGGCCTCCTGGTGCTTCTCAGCAGAAAGGAGCCGGCGTCAATGGGGAGGGAAAGGAAGGCAATACAGTGAACCCTTGTTTATCTCGATTAATCGGTTCTAGACCCTACTGTGATAAATGAAATTCCGCGAAGTAGGATTCCTTATTTGTAAATCAAATATTTTCGTAGTTAAAGCATAGAGGACATGAAAAAACACCTTTTAGTCACCATTACACTCATATTACCCAATTTATTAAACGAAAAAGGGAAAATACAGTAAAACATTTTGGACATTACAATAATCATTTATTGTTTATTATATTATTTATGGCATCAAGCGTGTACAGTATGAGCCAATCAGTAGCAGTAATGACAGAGCATGCGCTGTTACGCAAAAACCGTGATAGAGTGAAGCCGCGGAAGTCGAAGCGCGAAGTGGCGAGGGTTCACTGTACACATCTCCTAGATGCTGTCTGCTCTGCCGAGCCTCAACCCTGTGCTCCTGGCGGCCACCCAGGTGCAGCGCTGGGACGCTGGGAGGGAACCCACCCAGGACTTGGCTCCGCTCTGAGGGTGGTGCTGTCTGGCACTTCCGGCTAGACTTGGCTGTCACCTTGAGACATTTTTAATAGAACATTCTAACATATTAGAGGATCTTGTGATTTTTCTTTCTTTTCTTTTTTAACAGACAATTCCATCCACCCTTGTATTTTAATTTTTGAACTGTGGAGCATTAATAGTTAACTGTGTAGGATACTTAAAATGCTTAGGACACAACCCACATTTGATACAAATGCCTGAAGCAGACCCACTGCCAGTGAGTCCATCCCCAGCCGTGGCAGCCCCGTCGGTCTGGGGTGTCTGAGGACTGCATATCTTCGTGGGGGCAGGTGGCCTCACCTTCCTCCCGTGGAGCAGCTGGTGGGTGCTGTTAGCCTAACCCACAGCACCACTAGGGCGTCTTAGCGATAAGACCGGGAATTTTAAAAGAGAAGGAAGACGTGACATGGAGTCCTAGAGCTGAACCCATCTCCCGACTTAATGACACCCTCCTTTAAGTCATTTTTCATGAGGGCAAATGAGTTAGCTTGCGCTTCCCTTCCTGGTCAACCTGGGACCTCTTCCCCAAGCATCTGTTTAATGGCCAGCTTGCAGCCACAGAATGATGATTTCTCTGTCTCCCGGTTTGCTTGTTTGTTTCCAATGTGTGCGAGCATCGTAAGATGTCCCCGATCTTCTTCCCCATCTCCAGGGTACAGGGGACTTCCCCAGGTTCGAGAAGTGGGATGAAAAGATGGTGGAATTTCCCCGCACACGCCCAGAAGCTCCCTCCTACAGATGGAAATGCCCCACTTTAACCAGCCTTCCCCCCCCCTCCTTCCTTCTAGTTTGGGAATACCTGCTACTGCAACTCCGTCCTCCAAGCACTTTACTTCTGCCGCCCCTTCCGGGAGAAGGTCCTGGCCTACAAGAGTCAGCCTCGCAAGAAGGAGAGCCTGCTTACATGCCTGGCCGACCTCTTCCACAGCATAGCCACGCAGAAGAGAAAGGTTGGTGTGATACCGCCTAAGAAGTTCATAACGAGATTACGGAAAGAAAATGGTAATTCTTCTACTTCCTCACGTCTTGCTTCTGTCCGCCGCAGGGAGGGTTAGGTCCGAAGCCCGAACCCCACTGTCCTGGCAGGCACTGCTTCCGGCTCGGAGCAGCCACCCTGCAGGACAGTGTGGGACGCCGCTGCCCCTGCCCCTGCCCCTGCCCCAGGGGTTCCCACATTGCCTCGGCCTTTTCCCAAGGAGCAGCTGGTATCTTCAAACTGCTGACCTGCCTGATAGCAGCTCGGTGCTCAACCCACTGCACCACCAGGACTCCGAGGGTTAGCCAGAGCACCCACAGTCACAAAGGCCCAGGGCCACTGATGGTTGAGCCTCCCAGAAGGCTCAGCTCTGTGCAGTCGGTAGGCCATTGCCATGGTAACTACTGTGGGTGTGGTCAGCACCTGAAGTGCCCTAGGCAGAAACAGGGTCCCTGCACCAGGAGAGAGAGAGAGAGAAGGGAGGGAAGTAAGTACCATGGCTTTCTTTGAGGTGGGCCAATGAGCCATGCAGCAGTCTGCGGTTACAAAAGCACAACCAACAGGCACACAAACGCAGAAAAGCCGAAGCCCGCCATCATAGGTCCGTGTGACTCCAGCGACCGCAGGGAGCAGCTTCTCTCCCCTGTGAGACCGAAAACCAGACTCACTGCCAGCAAGTCCAAGCCCACTGCCAGGGGCCTGCAGGACAGGGCGGAGCTGCCCCGCGGGGGGTTGAGGCTGTGACTCTTCCCTGGAGCAGACAGCCTCTTCTTCCTCCCACCCCAGGGATAGCCAGGGAAAATGTGGTGTGCACAGACTTGCCGAGATTCCCAGCACGAGTCTCAGAAACCCTTTACGGGGCTGGTGCCTCCGAGTCGGAATTGCGTTGATGGCAGTGGGTTTGGTTTCGTGGTCAAGAGATCAAATGCCCACCCTGCTGCGGTTAACGTGGGAGCTGACTCTTCCGTCGAAAGTCTCAGTCTACACACCACGCCGGTGTGTGCTTGCTTGTTTCTTTGGAAGCTACGTGACCCCTACCATGGTCCATCTGACAGCAGCCCCGCAGGGCAGAGGGCCACCTGATGGCGCTCTCGGAGAACGGCCGGCGGGTTCTGGGTCTGGTGAGTAGGCGAGTGGTTAACCAGTGGGCTCCCGGGGCTCCTTCAGGGTGGACTCGGAGCTGAACCAGGGCACCTGCTGTGACCCGGGGAGATCAAGATGAAGATGGGACAGAAGGCCAGCCACCCCTGCGGGTCCTGCAGATAATCACTGACCAGCGAAACGTGGGCACAGAGCAGATAGACGTAGGCCGAGACTGCTTCCAGGAAACGTCACTGGGGTGGTAACTTCTGGGAGGATAGGCGGGTGGCAGGCTGGCCAGCGGGCCTCCCTTTTGTGCCTCGAGAATGTGCCACAGATGGACGACGCGCCTCGGCCAGTGAAGCGTCCGTCCGTGCAAAATGGCTGAGGAGCTACGGGCTGCTCTCGCTGCCCTGCCCCACCCACACCAGCCAGCCAGAACTTGTGATTTGGGAGTAACTGCTCCTTCAGGTCGGTACGAGACACCTGGAGCCTCCACAGGATGCAGACAGGGAGCTGAGAAGCGGGTGCTTTGAGCCTGCCCACAGGTCCCTGGGCCAAGGAGCCTGACCCTCCGCGGCTGAGAGGCCTGAGCCTGGGAAAGCCCCTGTGGAGCAGTTCACCTGTTCCCGCCAGCTGGGATCCAGGGCAGGAGAAACTAGCTGTGTTTTGTGAAGTGGTTTATGCTGCTGCCATGTGCTTTTTTACACGGGACCCTGCTGTGCGCATTCCGAATCCCTGCTGTCGCACTGACTGTCTTAGGCTTGTCACCGAGCTGCCCGCGCAGAAGCAGTGGTCCGTACAAAACGGTCCCATGACTGGAGTAACCGTTGTCTGGCTGACAAACAGTGGTTCAAATGTGGGTTCCTGCAGACACACCCGGGGCCGCTTCAGGTCCGCGTGGAACAGAACCAAGTGGCATCCTCTCGAAAGGCATCCACAGGCCCAGCAGCGGGCAGAAGCGAGGTCTTGTTGGAGTGCGCGCAATGGGCACGTCTGCTCTGTGCTGCCTGTCCCCCTGAGCGGGTGGTTGGGGTCCCTCCTCCTGTTTTGTTAAAGGCGTCCTGCGAACTGCTGGACATGAAGACTCTACGGGGTCCGCGTCGTCACGTGCCGTGGCCGTCTTGTCTCTCGCTGCTGGTCTTCACTGGGGTGGGATGGCCATACAGACAGAGTTCCTTAGGGTTTACGTGGGGCTTCTGGCTTGGTCTGTGTGTGTTCTGCATGGAAACCACAACAACAGCAGCAGGGCATGCTGACGATCTTTGAGCGCAGACAATGTTGTGTTCTAGGCCACTGTAATTCTCTCAGTAACTCCTTGAGGCCGATCTTATTCTCAGCCCGTGATTCCAACCCAGACCGGTGGCGCAGGAAGGCCCACGCAGCCTTACGTAGGAGCTGCTTTTAAAGAAGCTTTTGCTGGCAACCCTAGTAGGAACACTCCCTCTTGTTTTTCCTGCTTTACTTCCCAAAAAGTAGTTTCACTGATGTTGGCTTACTCTTATAATCACCTTGCAAAGGAAGAGAAAAACCAACCTGATTGTCCCTGTGGGAGAAACCAGGACTTCTGATTACCATACAGTGGAAGCTATTCCCTTGTGTTCTCTTAACCCTTTGGACTTCTTTTTCTATAAATTGTGGATTTCCAGCGCTTTGCTGCTTTGTGCTATTTTCTTTCATATGTATGTTGAAGACCAGTTTTCAGTTAGCTTTGTGATTTCTAGTGCTTAGGCCTTAAGCATATGCAGTTGTATTGTAGTTTGTCTAAAGTGTCATTTATTTTGTTCCATTTCTCCTTAGAAAGGCTTCCCCTAAATTCTCTTCTGAATTTAAAAAGTAGTAACCGTACTCTTTCTAGAATTTAAATGTACATGAAGGTGCTAAAAATAAAAATTTTCTAAGGAGGTAATTTTTCTCGGTGAGTTGTACTAGAGAACCTGCTGCTGTGTGGAGCTTCTCGTTTAATTAGTGAGCTCATACGGCTGCTGGCTTCCTGCTGTGGCGAATCCACCTCTGTTGCTTTCTCTCGGGGGACTTCACCCCTCTCGCCCGGCCTCCTCACTAGTGACAGTCAGTCCCACAGACCTGTTTGGGGACCAAACCAGACCCTACTCTGAAGTCCCAACGCTTCAGCCACAGCAGTAACCGGCGCTGCTCTCCACGTTAACCCAGGGTGTCGCTAGCACCTGCGCGCGTTGTGTGAGCACCTAAAGACCACGATAAAAGACTTCTCCATGCTGTCACTCTGTCTTACCCCCTAAGTACGTGCCCACGCACAACGAGCCCTGGCATCGTGAGCTAATAGAAAGGCCCTGGACTGGGGTGGGGGCTCACGGCTAGTAAGAACAGCAGGAACACAAACTGGGGATGAGCACGTTCTTTGCTTGACAAACGGTTTCTGTCCTATGTGTTTCCTGTGCATCAGCATCCCCTCGGGGAACTTTGAGCCCCACACCAAACCCCAAGGTTCCCGGCCTCGCCTCGATCTGCCCAGTCCCAGCCTGTGGGGATGGAGCAGCCAGCCAGGCATTGGCAAGAGGTCGACAGCAGACATTTTGCTTTTTAAACTTGCCAGCCTGCAATGTTTGTGTGATAACAGATTCAGGGAGCTAAGAAAAATTAAGGTTTCCTACCCCAGGTGGCTACCAGGGATATTGTTTGCTCCCTTTTAATGGATTAGTTTGCATTGTTTGTTCATGGTCTTTAAACATTTATTTTAATTTACTTATTTCTCCAAACCATTTGTGGTAGTTACATAATCTGTTGTCAATTTGAGACTAAAGAGGGAAGGGGGGGTGGAGTGTAGACTGTCAATCAGTTCGCAGCTTGATGACCTCATTTGGAGGCGCTGCAGAGATAAATAGCTCGCTGGAGGCAGGACACACACTTACTCCCAGTGAGGCATTCCTGTGGAGGAGACATATGGAGCTACGCTAGAGCCCTGGAGGTGGAGGAGCCACATGGAGAGACTGCTGCCAGCGCAGGATCCACAAGACCTTCCACCCACTGGCCTGTGATCTTCCTGCATTTGGCATCATTGCATGTGTTTCCTGAGTCTGAAGAGGAATTTTTAGGCTGGTATCGGACATATGGGCTAATATCAGACTCATGGACTTGATCTGGACTGGGCTGGGATGTTTTCTCAATTTACAATTGCTCTTTTATGTAAAATTCTTTCTTATACACATATGATTGTCTGTGAATTTGTTTCTCTAGTTAACCCGGACTAGCACACCATTTTATTAGGAGCTAATCCAGACATCATACCATTCCACAGTTCAATCCCGTCAGGCCGTATTGCACAACTGCTACCAAAATCGGTTTCAGAACATTCTCTTCTCGAACTCCTTGATCGCGGCTCCCCCAGGGAACTCTTATTCTAGTCGTTGTCTCTATAGGTTTGTCAGTCCTGGGTTTCCTACACCGAAAAACTGTTGATGTTCTGGTAGACATCCTCATTCACCCCAACTCCCCCGCCCCTCACATTCAGCCAGAACTTTTTAGGTGTGAAAGTCCTGTGGGTCTTGCCCATTGCCTGTCTGTAATACAGCAAACACCTGGACTCAGTTGTGACAGGGTACCAGATTGTGCTTTTTAAAACATGTTTGTCGTTTGTGTGGCGTTAGTGATTCTGATCTAATTATCCAGGGGCGTTGTTATCCTTTTCAGAGCTTTTTGACAACTACATGCAGCAAGATGCCCACGAATTCTTAAATTATCTACTCAACACAATCGCCGATATTTTGCAAGAAGAAAGAAAGCAGGAGAAGCAAAATGGCCGCCTGCCCAACGGGCACCCGGACCGCGAGAACAACAGTGGCGCAGCAGACCCCACGTGGGTCCACGAGATCTTTCAGGGAACATTGACGAATGAGACCAGGTGTCTTACTTGTGAAACCGTAAGTACGGCGGGCGGCACGTGCTGGTGCAGGGGAAGCGTGGGGTGTGATGTGCGGCGCCCTCCGTGCGCGGGAGAGGCTTGGGGGTTGTCGTTTGTAGGTGCGACCCCCATGGGGCGGGTGTCCCACGCCCCCCACACACACACCACACTCCCACGGACAGGGCGCCCACGTGTCCTGCATCACGAGGAGCACCTTGTTTGCAGGCGAGCGCTTTGTGTTTGAAATGAATCTCAGTAAAGTTACCTGTGGGCCATGAACACCTGAGGTAACGAAAAGCTACTTAATAGACGTTGGAAAACTGGGGTGTAGTTTTTTTCCTGTTGAGGCCAGAGAGCTGCGGCGTGGGACTTGCGTGCCTCGGTGAAGCTCACTGGAGCTTGATGGCCCAGGCGATGTGTGGATTTCTCTTTCTTCTCCCACAATGCCCTTTGCTGTTTATCGCGGGGAGAAGAGGGACCGCGTCTTGCCCATAGGCGAGGAGGAGAACATATGTGCGTGTTGGATGATTTGTAGAGAGGAGCCGAGGGGCAGTTGGCTGTGTGTGTGTCTGGGGTGGGGGTGGGGGGCGGTCAGATAGCCTAGTACTCCTGTGTGTATGTTTCGCATGCTAGCTGATTGTCACGTAAGGAACCAAAGATCGGACCAGCGCTTATTGACGCGAGTACCTGTCCATCTGTCAGTGGAGCCGGTGGCGTCTCCCTCTTCTCCCCACCTGAGTACAGTCGGCCGTTGGCTTGACCTCGTGCCACGTTGTCATGGTGGAGTGTTGTTGGTTTGGTTCCGGCTCCCGGCAGACCCCCACACAGCAGACCCCACGCTGCCACTCCTGCCTCCCGCTGGGGGGCTGCCGTGCTCCAGCCCGTTGTTGCAGCCCTGATGTCGATCCAGCTGGTCGCGGGCCTTCGTCCCTCCCATGTCTCTCTGTGTTACCGAACAAATGCCCATCTCTGGGGATGGACGGTTCTCCTGGCAACACATCAATCAGCCTATGAGACAGAATGTCGCCATCCTCCCCTCCCCAGAGCCACCCCCTTCGTCCAGGACGGGCTTCCCTGCTCCCCTGCAGGCGGGTGTGTTTGGCGCTCAGTGCTCCTCCTCGCCGGCTCGTTCTCACAGATTCATCAGTTATCTCGGCGTCTTCTTCAGCCGCCGTGCAGCCTCCACATGTGTGTGAGGCGATGGACCAGACCACGGCTTGGGTCGGCCGGCCCTCAGCCCTTAGAGTTGTATCTTTGCTTATTAACACTTTGCAGTTGATTTTCCCAGGGCGGTATGTCTTTTATTTCCTTGGCTGACAATTCCATGAGCTGTGTTCATGGACACCAGGAAAAGGGAGGCTCTGATGACTTCAGCCCTCTCTGTTTATCACAATGCCGTCATGGCCCGTGGGCGGTTTTTGTTTTCTGTATGCAGAGTTAGAACCTCGCTCCCCGTGAGCTTGGTGTGTCACCTGCATATCTGGGCTGGCTCATCAGCCTTTGTGGGGTCTGATGCTGCGTGCTTGTGTGGTGGCTTATGGCACTGACGTAGGCTGGGAATGCAGCCCCTGTTCTGCTCATGGTGGCCGTGTTGGGTGGGGTGACGTGCTCTCCTGCCTGGCGCAGACTGGGCTCTGGCAGCAGGAACCCTGCGTGGCTGTGTGGCGCCTCTCGCTGTATCCCATCTGGGGCAGGCCCCTGGGTCTCGCTGCCCCTGGGCTTGAGCCTGGCGTGCACCATCAGTTCATGCCCCATCTCCCCACTTATGAGTTGATGCCACGTCTTCCCTGTGCCTCGCTGACAGCCTGCAGGGAGAACACACACAGCCACCGCTCCAGTGTGGCCTCAGGGATGCTGTACAACTGCCCCCTCGGGCACCCAAAGCATCGAGCGGATTGTCATGTCTTTCCCCTGTGGTGCTTTCCAACCACCACCACCTGCCTAGCAGCTGGGCACTTTCGCTGCTACAGTACCGGGCTGCCATACCACCGTGCCGGCACTCTGCTGCAAAGCAGCGCATCCCCTGAGAGTGAGCTCTGCGGGCGACTTTGCAGGATCCTTCTTTGCAACAATGGTTTTAGGTGCCTGACCTGCCTAACCTCAGGTCACTTTCTCACGGTTCCAGAGGAGGGGAGTCCAAACTCAGACCGGCGCTCCAGGGTCAGGCTTGTGTTTTCCCGGGGCCCTGGAGGAAGGTCTCTCTCTGCCTCTCTCCTGATCCTGCCCCTCGGGGATCTTCCCTTGGCATGGCATGTCCCCTCCTCCGCCCCGCTCCTCTGTCAGCTGCCTTCCTGAGTACTCTGTCCCTTTCGTGCCTCGGAAGCGATGGACCAGACACAGCCGGCACTGAGCCTGTCTGGAGCACGGCACAGCAAAACCATCCCAAATGCGGGCACAGCCACGACAATGCCAGTCCCACCTGCTGCCACCCATCAGTCCCTACCCTACCTATGTTTCCCTCCAGAGGAGAGGAGAGATTGTAAGTCTTTACAGGAGCAAACAGCCTTGTCTCTCTTCTGAGGGTGGGCTGGTGGGTTTGAATCTCCAGCCCCAGGTCTAACCCCCAGGGTCCCCGGGGCTCCTTAACCGTGGGTCAGGACTTAGAGCACATGCTTTGGGGAGCAGAACCCTGGTGGCACAGCAGGATACAGCCTGCTGCTAACCACAAAGTCAGTAGCTCAAAACCACCAGCCACTTTGTAGACAAAAGGTGAGGTTTCTTACTCGCATAAAGAGTTACAGTCTCACTTTCCGCCGACCATTCCACTTGGAGGAGGGCCGTAGGTAGCCCTGGCGCCCAGCCTGAATGGCACTTCCACAAGGACTGGCAGCAGCATGTATCCACGTGGTTCAGCCAACCAGCATAGAAGATCCGCAGGCGCAAGGCCGGACAAGCTAAAGCCCGCTGCATCGCCCCACGGCCCAAGGCTGGCCCATCATGTGCTGTCCCACGATGTGCTATCACACCAAAGTCCATACTGGCCTGGGCTTCAGCCTGGAAGAGCTGAGGGTGGCTGACATCCACAAGAAGGTGGCCTGGACCATCAGCATCTCTGTGGACCCCCGGAGGCGGAACAAGTCCACCGAGTCCCTGCAGGCCAATGTGCAGTGGCTGAAGGAGTGCCGCTCCAAGCCCATCCTCCTCCCCAGGAAGCCCTCAGCCCCCAGGAAAGGACATAGCTCTGCGGAGGAACTCAAACTGGCCACGCAGCTTCCTGGACCTGTGATGCCCATCTGAAATGTCTGCGAGAAGGAGGAAGCCCGGGTTGTCGTGCAAGAAGAGCAGGACTTCAAGGCTTTTGCCCGAGTGCGCATGGCCCGCACCTTCGCCCGGCTCTCTGGCATCCGAGCGAAGAGGGCCAAGGAGGCTGCAGAGCAAGATATGGAGAAGTAGGGTTGTGTCTGTCAGGGCCTTTAATAAACACTTCCTCCCCCCCCCTCCCCACCCCCCACGCCAAAAAAAAAAAAAGAGTTACAGTCTCAGAAACCCCTCAAGGGCAGTTCTGCCCTGGCCCGTAGGGTTGCTGTGGGTTGGAATTCACTCGATGGTAGTGAGCTTGCTTTGGTTTTATTTGGGGGAACATGGTTCACCCCATAGCCTAGTCACTGGGAAAGAAGGTGCTTAGCAAGAAAGACAAATGCTTGACAGATGTTTGGAAGAACAACACAGCCCATTGATGGACAGCATCAACTAACTATGCATGTCCGGACAGAAACTAATGAGAACAAGGTGTCAGTTTGTTTGAAGCAACTGGGTGGTTGTGATGGGGGCAGCCAGCCCCAACCCAATGAAAACTCCACCAATGGCTGACCACGCACGGAGCTGCAGCACTTGCAAAGCGACCCCTGTCAAGAGTGTAATTTCAGATAAGGAAGGGCATGACGCCAGCTAACCAATAAACTTCCCTTATCCTTATATATTTTAGCCCTTATTAGGTCCAGCAAGAGAGGGGCATCTGAGTTCTAAGGCACCCCAGTGGCACTGTTGGGTTAATGTTGGGCTGTTCACCACAAGGCCAGCAGTTCAAACCCAACAGCTGCTCCGAGGGGGGAAAAGGGGGCCGCCTGCTCCCATAAAGATTCACACTCTCGAAAACCCAAAAGAGGGTTGCTGTGAGCGCGTGGGTCTTGGTGTGACCTTTGTTGTGGAATTTGGTCTGTGTTCAAGGGTGTCAGAATATTCGCAGTTGAGCCTCGTCGTATTTTCCGGAAGAGACGGGCCTCGTGCTGAAACGCGCAGTGGGTGAGAAGGGGAAGAAGAGAAAGGTAGGCGTGGGAAGCTATGTGGAGGCCCCAGACATTGCTGAGGGCTTTGATAAGTGTGTGATACTGGACAGGCGGGGCAGGAAGCACAGGTGGGGAGAGTGTTTGGAGAGAACCTACTACCAGTCCTTCTGGCTCCCAGAGCACAACTGGGCGTTGCTCTGATTTATACCAGGTGGATTCCGGCCATCCGACCCACCCTCCAGGGGGTCAGCTTGTGGCCTGCACTGTACACGCACAGTCTGCCCAAAGTCAAGGGTATGGACTGAGACTCCTTCTCAAAGTCTCAGCCTCCATCCGGCAGGTTTAGTCAATAACCATTCGGGCTAACCGCATTGATCCACCAAAGCTGGAGGGATGAGCATTTCTCGAGTGAATCTGTCTCTCTGTTGAAGCCTGTCTGTCTCTAGCTGTGTATACACCCTTTTTTTTAATGCTTTTATTGGGGGCTCTTGCTTCCTTATCACAATCTATACATTCATCCAGTGTGTCAAGCACATTTGCACATATGCTGCCGTCATCATTTTCAAAGCATTCTCTTCCCACTTGAGCCCCTGATATCAGCTCCCCATTTCTTCCTTCTTCCTTCCCTGCTCGCCCTCCCTCACAAACCCTTGATAAGTTATAGATTATTATTTTCATATCTTACATTGCCCTCCGTTCCACTTTTCCATTGTTCGTCCCCCTGGGTGGGGGTTATAATTGATCCTTGTGATCGATCTTTCTCCCCCTATCCTCCCCTAATCCTCCTGCTATCTTTTCTCTCCTTATTGGCCCTGAGGGGTTTATCTATCCTCGATTCCCTGTGTTGTGGGCTCTTAACTGTAGCAGTGTGCATGCTCTGGTCTAATCCGATTTGTAAGGTAAAATTGAGGCTATGATAGTGCGGTGAAGGAAGCACCAAAGAACTAGAGGAAAGTTGTGTGTTTCATCGGTGCTATACTGCCCCCTGACTGGCTCATCTCTTCCCTGTGATCCTCTATGAGGGGATGTCCAGTTGTCTACAGATGGGCTTTGGGTCTCCACTCCATGCCCCCCATCCCCCCATTCACATTGGGTATGATTTTGTTCTGGGTCTTAGATGCTTGATGCATGATCCCATCAGCATCTCATGATCACACAGGCTGGTGTGCTTCTTCCATGTGGGCTTTGTTGCTTCTGAGCTAGATGGCTGCTTGTTTATCTTCAAGCCT